TCTATCAAAATGTCTTAAATCAGTTTGCAGCAAAAGCAGGGTGCTTTTTCAAGCAACAGAATTAATAGGGCAATTCATATAAACGCGTAAAAGCCTCATATCTACGTAAACCTCGTAAATATGTTTAATTGTGTACGTAAAACCGGTTTATTTACGAGATTTACATAGTTACGAAGAATTTACGCGTTTATATGAATACCTTGAATGAAAAATATGTCTTGTGATTTTTCTTCAGAGCTGGATTCTAGGCATTAAGCAATTAACATATGTAATACTTATTTTCGGGCTCTACGCTGTGAAAAATAGTATACACTTAGGTAACTTATTTTTCATCAAAGCTTTACAAAATTTTTTTTTTTTTATGTTCATAAGTACAAAGTACATTTTGTAAATACGTACATATGTATGTACGTATGTATGTATGTCAAGGATTGAATAACTTCAATTCAACAAGCATCCTCCATATCGAAATGAGGCAATTGAAAATGAAGGAAATTTATGTTTTTCCACTCATGTCAAATTGGCTACAAAACACAATGACCTACTAATTAACTGCAAAAAACCATTAAAATGCTTCAACAAATTGCGCACATTTCAATTCAATATCACTCATACGTCACGTGTATCCACACACGCACACATACACATATATGATAGGGATGTTTCGAATGTCATATTTGTCACATTGGCGAATGCGAATGTTAGGAATAACATTAAAAAAGCTATAATCAACTTAAGTTATCGTGTCTACTACTTAAATTTTTTTTTTAATTATTAGAACATTGGACGATCGCTTAACCTATACTGTGCACTATGGTCTGGCGACTATCATTTGTGGCCAAAAGTCGAGAAGTAACCAAATTGATTTGAAACTTAGTGTTCGGTGGTTTTTAAAGTCGCTGATTTCGAATCTGATGTAAGATTTTTGGAATTTAAAATGGCGGATCCAATATGGCGACCAAATTTTACAACTTCTTCCTTTTCAGCTTAAATTCAAATAAATGGGGAGTTCTCGAGGGCGTTGATTTCGAATCTGATAGCAGCAGATTGTTTAAATTCAAAATGACAGATGCAATATGGCTATAATTTTTTCTTTTTCACCAAAGATATATATTAAAAAGGGACTTTTTTCGCTTGAGGAATCTAGCCAATGTTGCTTATAAGACTTTTAACAGCACTTGTTGAAGGCCCATCAATTTGCTTGACCGTTTAGCGCCTGAAGCTAAAAGCCGATTATTGACCACACCCTGGTTAGAGAGATTTAGAGCCATTTCAACAATATTAGAGTGGACTCTCTGGCCATGTACTTTGTAAAATTACTTTGTATGGAAGAAAATCCGTGATACCGTCAGCAAAAGAATATAGCAAAAATCAACGCAACTTAAAATTTGCTCTTTATTTTACTAGAATTTAATAAGCTTTAAAACTGCATCCCAAAAATTATTCTAGAAATTAAAATTAAAATGCATGGAATCTCGATTAAAAGTTTGTGGAATTTTTATAACTTTTGTACAAAGTCTGAAATTTAGTTTTATGTGGTATTTGTTCGAAAAAAAGCTATAAAAATAATGAACCTTTAAAAAGTCAAAATAAAGGTAGTCAAGACTGGTAAAATGGTTGATGCGCTATCGTTTGTCGCGGGGTGTACACATTCGCATTCGGAAAATATTCATATCATTTGATGCGAATGTGTAAAATGATGCGAAACATTCGCATAACAAATGCGAATGCAAATATTCGCAACATCCCTGATATGTACATACATACATACATGCATAGGAAACGTAAGCAAAAACCGGCAACACAAAACCCGGGTTTATTGCTTGTCGTTATCAGGCAGCTGACCGTTTCAAATAATAAGCGAGCGAACAATCACGTTTACCCACACGTATGTACATACATACATACATACATACATACATACACCTGAATATACGAATATAGCTAGATTTTATTATTATTATTACGCTTGTTCTTGTTGCCGTTTTTGATAAGCATTCATTCAACCCAAATACATACATACATACATATATACATATATACATATGTCTCCGTTTACAAAGCTACTATATTTGTTTTTGCCTTTTGTGAGCGGGCACACAGTTGTTAAATGTGCTGCCATTTTGCCAAAACTAAATGGCAATTAAATAGAACATTTATTTGGTTGCTGACTAGCAAGCAAAATGAAAACTGGAAAATGGAAATGAAAATGAAAATAATTGAAAACCATTTTTCCACTCGACCAAAAACTGGCTGTCGCAATATCAGCTACTGCTTCCGGTAAACGAACGAGTTTTCATCAAAAACCAAAACTAGCGAAATTTATTGGCAATAAAAATGTTTTGTATTTGATAGAAAATTAAAAAAGTAAAAACTCATCAAATGTCTAAAATACTGTAGAGGGCTGTAAACTTGTGAAATTTGTTGGGAACGCTTGGTAAATGAGAATGAACGACATATTTTGTTGAAAGAGCTGCGGCTAGCAGCACTTACATACATACATACAGGTATACATACAAATATACATAAAAGCAAATAACTAATGGCGGGCAGCTCACTTAGTAAAATGTTGATGAAGGAGTTAGCTGACAATTGCCTGATATTCATAGAGAACAAAGCTTGGATTTAAATGTAGATACTTATGCACCCGAAAGTTTCCGAAAAAAAAAGGTCCGAAAAAAATCTCAAAAATTACCCAAAAATTACAAAATATCCGGAAAGAGCACGTTAGAATACAAAAAAAGTCCCAATTAAATTAAAAAGTATCGGATAACATTCCAAAAAAATACGGACGTTTCAAAAAATCCGAGAATTTTCCGCAAAATCTGAAAAGTTTTCGATGAGTCCGAAGTTACCGAAAGATTTGAAAAGTTTCCGATAGATGCGAAAAGTTTCAAAAGAATCGAAAAGTTTCCGAAAAATTTCAAAAGTTACGAGAAATCAGAAAATTTTTCGAAAAATCCGAAGTTTAATACTGCTCCCAAAAGTTCGCGAAAAAGTCGAAGTTTACCGGTACACCGAAAAGTTTCCCAAAAATCCGAAATGTTTCCGAATACTCAAAAGTAAAACAAGAAAAGTACCAAAAAGTACCGTTAACCTTAGGAATGGTCCCGCAAAATCCGCTTAGAGTTGCGAAAAGTCGGAAGATTGCTAAAAACCAATAAGATTCCGAAAATCCAAAGTCTCCCAAAAATCGGAACATTTCAAAAAACCCGAGAAGTTGCCGAATAATCCGAAGTTTCTGAATAATTCGAAAGGTTGCCCAAAGAATTCGAAAAGTTTCCGAAAAATTCTAAAAATTACCAAAAACCTGAAGGTTCCCAAAAATTCGAAGTTCACTACTACTCCGAAAAGTTTACAAAAATTTTTAAATGTTTCCGAATACTACTCAAAAGTGGGACATCATAAACACCGAAAAGTACAGTTAAACTCTGGAACGGTGCCGAATAATCCTAAAAGAGTGTTGAAAAGTCTAGAACCACCCCTTAAAACCCCGGAAGGTACCGACAAAAGCCCGACAGTTCTCAAAAAAGGAACGAGAGATACCAGAAGATCTTGAAAAGAATCCGAAGTATCCCAAAAAACAATCCAAGATGTAGCTAAAAAATCTTTAAGTCCAGTGAAAATCGTCAATAACTAGTCTCGAAAAACTCCGAAAAATCACACACAGTCTTTGCTTTATTCGAAAATGTTTTCTTTCTTACGGACAGAGTCCAGCAGACAGAATCAATGAGAACTTGTTGAAGCAGGTCCCGAAAGTCGTCTTAGTTAGGGATAAACTCAATACTTTTATTCAAAACGCAGCAGCTCCGATTATGTGTTAAAAAAATCTTTTTTGGTAAGGAATTCCAGGCCTAAATTGTCTAGCTCTGTACATTGCTCACAGGCGAGTCAAAGACGAAGGACATAATATATGCGGATTAAATTGAAATGGGTTTGAAAGTGGGCCTTTTAGATATATTTTCAAAAACAGCTAAGCATCTATTAGGGCAGTACAATAGGATGATCACCTCAAAGCATGTCTAGAAGAGTTTTCCAATCTTCATCTCTTGTCAGCGAGAAACATAGTAACACAGTGCTTTTAGGTAACTGCGAGATCGCAGGAAAAAAGTTCGGCTACGAACAGGCGAGGGTAGGTTCATCGCCTGTTCTGGGGGATGGAAGAAAATATATTGCAGCCACACTTGGTCTTGCAATTAAGGAGGAGGTAATCTCAGCATGGAAAAGCTACTAATAGAAACTATTTGCCATTTATAGGCGGCGTAAAATTATGTGTCCCTCTGTTTTTGTTATGACGGCTAATTGAAGGAGAAGATTAACCAAACACTTGGCAATCGGGTAAGCGCTAAAAGATTAGTATGTATTATTATTATTAAACTCCCAACGTGGTATTTAGGTACTCGGTAGTGTTCGCCGATTTTAGACACGTCAGCTTCTTTGACTTTTTTTCGGTGGAAAAGACATACATCTTTTAGATAGAGTCAATAATAGGTTGCTCACTAGGTACCTGGCTGCTCTTTTACACCCCCGCTCTCACATAATACACCAGATTAACCCTAGGGAGAGCAGGGAAACGTAATGCTGGTTTTTGCCATGAATACGAAGAGACGTCAGAGCACAAAATACTTTGTGATTGTCCGGCTAAACGCTTAAAGTGTTACAGTCTAACGCCTTATGTTTCTGTTACGAGTTTATTGGGAAAGTTGATGGTTAGTAACTTGGCCTGCCCGCTATCGAATGCTAAAATGTACATATGTATTTCCCATCAATCAAAAGTGCTACTTAAGTAAATAGAAAGGAATTCGTTTCAACTGTGAAAATGCAGTTGGGCATAAGTTAAACTGCCAGCACACCTACGGAAAAACGACTGCAGTAAAAGGATTTCGCTCAATATTAAACTAAGAAAAAAACCAATCTATTTGCAAATGTGTGTGTGCACACGCCTGCAATGATAATCTCTGTACATATATGTATGTAGATATGGATTTAGTGTAACTTACCGTTGTGTTGATGGTCGTCCAGCTATCCAGATGGCAAACAATGATATCATAAAACTGGCAAAATCTGTTAGCAAGTGAGCAGCATCTGTTGCAATAGCCAAACTGTTCGATAAAATGCCGCCTGTTTTGTGTGGCCAGCCAGCAAGTTAGCACAACAAAAACAACAGCAACAACAATAACACCAACAATGAGGGCGTCACGCCATTTCAGCAGCATAGCCACATAGTCAACGCCAGCGAGCCACCACAGCAGTCACAGTTACAGTTACAGCCGCCGCCGCCGCCGCAGCCACATCAACGCAAAGGAACGCATCGTTGGACAAATCAATCGATAAGGTTTTCACACAGCGTTGCCAAAAAAAAAAATGCCAGCCATGACATGAAAAAGAGAAAAGAGGAGAAAAAAAAAAAGAGATAAAAGTTAGAAAATATTTAGTAAAACGTCAGAGCATTTGCCAAAAACAAGCAAACGTTAGTGTTGTTGTGGGCAGAGTAGCAGCTGCCTGGTTAGTAGTGAGGTTGACGGGTAGCCTAACAATGGTGCAAGCAGCACAGGTGTGCATTCCCGCAATTGTCAGTTGGACGTTTAGTTTTCGGTCAGCCGCTTCAATTTGTGCCACTAGTCTAACGTTGTGCAACGTAAGCTGCATTTTCACCTTTTTTGTTTTTGTAACTTTTATTTTCGGTTAACAAGTCACTTTCCTGCTTGGTTAGTTGCATCTTTACTTGCTGCAGCAGTTATTTGGCTATTTTGGGTCAATTTTTATTTTTATTTTTTGGGTTTTTGTTTTTCAAGCACCCCGCCGCCTTTGAGTTATTGAATTTCAGCGTGGCACAGCACACTGTGCGAACAACGAAAAGGTGGAGTTGGTAAAATGTTGATAATGACAGTAGTCGAAATTCGAAATTGCAACTATTCGAGCAAGGCATACCATGCCCGCTTCAATTCACTTGCTAATGCAACTTGCCACATGAAGGGTAAAATTGCTTCAAGCACAAAAATATGTAGTAGAAACTTGACGTTTCAATCGACAAGCTACATGCAAAAGGTTGTGGCCGGTAGTTTAAGGAGATGCTAGTAGCTTAATTTCGCTCTACGACAATTGAATTTAGCTGCGCTCATCACCATTAGGTAGAGTTTGGGAAAATTCAATTGAAAGCAAGTAATCAGTGATTATTGATGGTAGTGGGTAGTGGCAATTTTTGGTAGGAGATACAAAAAAAAATGTCTTTACTTCTACATAAGTAGGTATGTATTATCATAATTTTCCATAAAGTTTTGTTCGAGTATATTAAAACTTTGTTCGAAGATTGAAAGAAAGTGCTAATGGGTGGTAAATTTTAGCAAAGTGCTGATTCTTCAACCGATTAAGTATTGTTGACCAATCATAAGTAAGCTTAATACGGACGAAAGCCCTTTCTACAAATCCTACTTCTACCCAGTTTCAGTCAATTGAATCCAAGAAATCGCTACGCCAAATTGCAGCCAATAAAAATTCCGTAAGGAATATCAGGTGCGCCTAAGGATATTTATGCAAAGGCTTCAGAGGAATCTTAACTGGTCCTCGGCTTAGATGTTGCATATTTTCAGGCATCCCTAATATGCATAAGAAAAATTTGTACGATAGAAATTTGGCGTAATGATTTTTACAATCACACTGCATACCGGTATTTGTCAACAAATCATGGACCTTTAAAGACGAATCAGACTACTATATAATCAAAATTTCACTGGATTATTTATTGCATAATTTTAGGCTTTGCATAGGATAATCATTGCATCGTTGTCAGTCACATAATTTACTACATAAGAAGGCCTTGTGACTTGTCCTAAACCTCTTTGGTTTGATACCCATACTGCAATATTAATTTTATCAATTCAATTAAAATTTTCCAACAGGTGGCAACCTTCCACAAAAATCTTTTTGGCTGTAAGCCTTTTAAAACCTTTTTCCATGTTGCTATATTTGCTTTATCTTATCAATTTTCTTTAACTCAAATTTTCAAACAGATGGCAACTCTATAATTTTTTTTTTCTTCTATATATTAAATTGGACCTTTAGAAATGCAACGGTGAGAACTGCTTTTTATTCTATGTTTTAGTGTTCGAGTGATGCGCGCACAAACATACAGGCAGGCATACAGAAAATATTCTAAAAATTGTTGCATTTGGCTTCCATTGTTCTAATAAAGACCCCCGATATTTAAATTATCTTTAATATCTAAAATGTGCAGATATCGACCTGTTAAAATTGTATTATATTTATAGAAGATGTGGACGGCCTAATTAAATCCATCCTAGCATCTGATAATAAAGGATATTGGTAAAAAAGGAAAGGAAGAAAATTGCACTAAAATTGCTGATCGATTATTTCTATGCGCATCCCTAAATATGTACGTACATAAATATTTTTTAAAGGCAATACATATAAATTTACCTAACCTTTAAGCCAATCAATAAATTTCAAACACAAATATATTTTAGGAAAATTTCAGTTTTACAAGGCACCTTTCTACCACACACACACACACGCACACCTCCCACTTAAGCTAGCAGCAACATTTGCACTAGTAGCTTTATTGGTTCAACTTTGAATGCCTTAAGAGCACATCAAACATGCAACTACCGCTTGGCAAGCAGTTCAAAGCTGTGGAAAATCGAGACTACTGTATGTAAAATTTAGACTTGTTTATGAAATACCAAAAATCCGGACATTTTTAGTTGCAAGTCAAATATTGATGCAAGTGCTGTGCAAAACAGTGACTTTTCCTGCCTGTTTGTCGACTTTATTGGTTTATCTGTGCACACCGGCTTAAAAGTCATTCATATTGACTGTAAAGCAGCACAGCACAAGCACGCACGCACGCACGCAAGCAAGGCTGAAGCAGAAATAGAAGTATGCATGAATCGATATTTATGTGAATTTGCATTTGCGTTTTTTTTTTTTGCCTGCTCTACTAAGCGCTGCTGTCACATAGTTGTTGAATTTTTCCATAGACAACACATCCGACAGTGGAGGAGGAGAGACAAAATCAAAAGCAAATGCACAAAAGTGTAAACAATTGTTGTTTTTTGTATGCTGTCAGTGCATGTATGTGTGTGGCAAGCACACTTGTCACACATATCAATGGCGATGCAAAAGAGCAAACCTACTGGCTAAGCACAAATGCCACTCTGGTGCTGACGAATCGACCGACCACCGGCCGACGTCTGACCAACTGCCAATATAAAGCACTACCCAACACTGTCCAAGCATGCAACAATTGACAATTCTAAGCTTACATGTTGCATGCAACAGCAAGTGTGCAACACTCGTTCTTGATATGCACAATGCAGTTGCAGCTTCGCTGAAACATGCCTCTTCCCTTTGTATGTTGTACTACTTTACGAAATGGGACGTGTACACTTTGCATTTTATTGAAAACTTTAACCAGATTTTTATTTGTTTTTCGTCCTCTTAAATGTCCAACAGTCAGTCAAGCCGTCATTCAGTTTGTCAATCAGCATGCACACTATTTACCCCCCTCCTCTTTTTCATGCGCTTTTGTTTCATTTCTCTCTTTCCACTGCCAGTATGCAAAAGCAAAAGGGGGAGGGAGGGCTTATGCACTTTCCGACGAAGTTTGGCAAATTTTTCCTTGACATTTAAATTTCAAATTTTTCACTTTTCACTCTCTTTTGATGACAGCCTTCGCTCGGCACTTCTTGCACTTTGCCCACAAAATTTTCTATTTCATTTATGCTTTACTGCATATTTAAGGAAATTTGGTATAACTTTGAACGAATGCATATCTCTATGCTTCGCAAGTGCAATATTGGACAGCTCTAAGCTTCTGCAAGCCATTCATAAAAGCTCGTTGAAAGTACTGAAGTCGTCAAAGTGCATAATTTTTTTTTTTTCCTATTAATAAGCGTATTTGTAGGTAAAAATGAAAGTTTTCACCTGTTTTTTTAACAGTGTTTGTGGTTAGTTAGTTGCGTTCGATTCGAGTGCTCGGCAGGAAGAACTTATGATTTTCAAATCGATTGAAAAATCGATTTTTTCATGTAGAAATATCCATTTGTCGATATTATTAACGAAATTTCTTTCGAAATAATTATCGATATTGGTCGATATCGTTATCACTAGGTACGCATCGATTAAGGTATCGATGTTTCTCAATTTATTTATCGAAATTAATCAATGTAGTTATCGCCTGCTTTATTTCGATTTAATTATTGATATCTATCGACTATGATATTTTTATGGATTTTCATCTATTTTGCATTCATTGCGTTACACGTTTCATCTATACATATAATAAAATTGTAACAGGTCGATGTCTGTACGTTATAGATATTAAAGAAAAATTAATGTGGGGGGTCTTTATTAGAGCACCACAAGCCAAATCAACCATTTTTAGAATTTTTGTCTGTCTGTCTGTCTGTCTGTCTGTCTGTCTGTCTGTCTGTCTTTATGTTTGTTCGCGCATCACTCGAAAACGAATGCATGGATTTGAATGCAGTTTTCACCGATGTATTGCTAGAGGTCTAACTTAAAAAATAGAAGGAAAAAAATTAGATAGTTGCCACCTGTTTGAAAATTGGAGTTTAAGTAAATTGATAAGAAAAAATGAATATTGCAATATGGGCGTCAAAAGAAAGAAGCTGAAGAAGGCTTATAGCCAAAAATATCTTTTTAGAGTTGCCACCTGTTTGAAAATTTACATTTAATTTAATTTATAAGATAAATTGAATATTGCAATATGGGTATCAAACTGAAGGGGTTTAGTAAATTTTATTGCCGAAAATATTTTTAGGGAGGGCTGCCACCTGTTTGAAAAATTTTATTGTATTAAATTGATAAAATAAATGAAATTTATATCTACATCTATACATATAATAAAATTGTAACAGGTCGACGGCTGTACCTTATAGATATTAAAGAAAAATTAATATGATGGGTTTTTATTAAAGCCAAATAAACAATTTTTAGAATTTTTGAATCTCTGTCTGTCTGTATATTTGTACGCGCATCAGGTGAAAACATGGAATTGAATGCAGTTTTCACCGATGTATCGCTACAGATCTAACTTCCAATATAGAAGAAAAAATTAGAGAGTTGCCACGTGTGTTTAAAAT